GGGGCAAAACCAGTCACCGTCAAGTCAGCTCCAACACATGGCACCCCCTTTTGTGTCCGAGCAGAACCGCCCCACAGGGTTGTCAAGGCCATGACCTTCCGGGAGCTGATCCCCGGGCCTTTCTCCTCAGGGACCTTGGGGTGCCCTTGAACCCCCAAAGTTGTGGTTTGCAGCCAAGCTCATCCCTTGTTTGCACCTCCTAGTTTGACTACAGCCCCCTTGACCAAAGCTCCTAGGTCCGCAGCGACTTTCCAGAGTGAAAAGGGGCCCTGAGACCCAAAGTTCCAACTCTGGGCTCCTGATGCAGGTCCCACCCCGGCCCCCGAGCAGCTGAACTTGGACCTGTGTTTTTGCAGCTGTGTCCCTCAGCTATTCATGAGGACAGAACAGGAGACAGCATGGGTGGCCCCTTCCCACCCAAGACTGCTTTGAGGCTGAGTCAAGTGACTTCGTGGCACACGGCGGACCCTCCATGAAGGATCCCTCATGCCGTGCTGAGATTGTCCGGGCCGAGCCCTGGTGACCACAGCAAGGCCATCTTGTGACTCACTGTGGCTCTGGGCCTTGGGTCAATGTTGGCCAAAACCTCTTGGAAACGGAAGTTCCCTGTAGGGCAGGCTCTGGGGCTGGCAGTGCTGCTGTCCCCAAGGAAGGCGGGAGGGTGAGTCCCCTTTATCAGCACGAGGACCAGCCTTAATGTCAGGGTCAGGCCCGGAACACACTGGGGAGGGATATTTTTAGGGAGAAAATCGTGTGGCCCTTATCTCTCTGGCCAGGAGCAGAGAGGAGGGAGGGAGAGAGAGGGGAAGGGAGGGGCTGGAGGGAGGAGGGAGGGGGTGACATCGACCTGCCACAACCCTACCCAGCTGGCCCGTGACTAATTTAGGCAAAAGACAGCGGGAGCTATTTCCATCCAAGGAACAGGTGCAGCTCCGCCCAGCCACCTCCCAGGCTATAAAGGTGCCAGGTTTTGTCAATGAAGTCGGGGGCGCAGGGAGCGTACTACGGGGGCGCAGGGAGCGTACTACGGGGTCAGCCCAGCCTGGGCCCTGGAAGTTGGGTACCCACAGGCCACTGAGTACCGCCCCCCGCTGTCCACACCTCTGCACAAGATGAAGGTCATCATCGGTGTCGGAGGGTGAGTGGGACAGAGGGAGGTTGGAGGGGGGAGGCCGAGGGATGAATGGACAGATGTCCTGGTGTCTGAGGGTGCACGGTCCCACCGCCGAGGTCCGAGCCCCAAGAGGGGTCTCTGTCCTAGGGGCTCGGCACCTCCAACAGGGAAGATTGGTGCAGGGCCCAGCTCAGCGCCCCACTGTTTCAGTTTTCCAGATGGACATACTTTTTCTCCTTTAAACTCAGTGTCAGAACAAACATGAGTTGGGACAGAAAATTATAGAAAAGCACAAGGTGTCGCCTACGGTGGGTGCCATCCTTGCAAGCTCCCTACCCTGGGACAGACACATGGGGAGGTCGCCCTAAAATGACCTTCCGTGTGGCTGCGTGTACACTCTTGCCTTCAACGCCGTTCTGGGTAACCTCAGGCACCCTGGGGAGCTGGCTTCCTGCCTCATCCACCACCCAGGGTTTTCAACTGTCCCTTCTGTTACCGAGGAGACGTTTTGGATGATGCAGGAAGCACTGAGGGTCCCTGGGTGGTAGAAACAGTTTGCACTTGCCTTCTAACCCAAAGGCTGGGGGTTCAAACGCACGTATGGTGCCACAGAAGACAGGCCAGGCAGTCCGCTTCCATAAAGATGACAGTCACCGAAAGCCCTCTGGAGCGGCTCTACTCTGCAACACACGGGGTCTCCAGGAGTCGGAATCAATGCAACAGCAACGGGTTGGGGTTTTTGTTTTTGGCTTTATGAGCGTTTAACATGGGCACAGCCTGCTTCACTGGCCCACTGCACTCTCCAAATTTGGTTTAAGGTTCTGTCCTTGTTTTGATACTCTTAATGCTTTTTGGACCAAGGACTCCACCTTTTTATTTTGCACAGTGCTTGGAAAATTCTGAAGCTGGCCCTGAGCAAAGATTGGCCTTTTATTAACGACTTGAATTAATGTTGGGAGCTCTGGTGGC